CCCCTTATCCTCCGCGCTCTCGGGGAGGAAGGGACGGGTAGAGAGAGAGATGGATGAGGGGGTTGGGGGAGGGGACGTCAAGTGTTGACAGGACGCTGGGGACACAAACGCTCAGACAAGTTGACACCCGCTTCTGCTTCTTTTCTCTCTTTCCCCCCCCTCCCGCAACGGAAAAGGAAGGACGAGGGCGGGTTAAGGGAAAGAGAGGGTATCCACTAAGGAGATATATCCGCATGTAGATGATCGAGGAGGCCGAAAACGCCGGTATTACCAGGAGCCGCTCATAGCCTCACGCCGTCCGTCGCACCGCTTAACCTGGTGTAGCTGCGCAGGACGCGCCGCGGGTTGCCTCTCCCGCCGAGCGCCGCCGCTCTCTCGCCGGGGCTACCCGGTTTTCTCAGGCGCCTCGGAAAGTTCTCCAGCGCCTGGCGAGAACGAAGGGCAAGCGCCTCTTCGTGACGTTTGAACAAGTACTTCGGAGGAAGGAAAAAAAGGACACCTGCCGCTCAAAGGCGAAAAAATAAGTAAGACGACAAAAGGAAGAACAACTTGGCGGCACCTTAAAAGACTAGCTGCTATATTTGGATGTGAGCTTCCGTGGACAAGTCCACTTCCTCAGACCTCAGCTGTGTCTTGAGGAAGCGGACGTCCCCGAAAGCTCACATTCAAAACACAGCACTTAAGTCTCTAAGGTGCCACAAAGTTTTGGGCTCCTTTATTCATTCTTTCTTTTTTTTTAATTCATTTATTTTTGCCTGATATGGTAGCACGGGCTAACACGGCCACCTCCTACAAAAGCCTCTCTCCCGAAGTACTTCCCGCCTCAGCAGAGCCCCTTGTCCCAGGGAGGCGCTACCTGCGTGCGAGCGCCCACGCACACGCGTCTCGCAACGCTTTTTCTGAAAACCTGTTCGGAGCTGCTCCGCGGCGGCAGCGGCTGCTTCCCGCATTCCCTCGGTTGCCGGCAACCTGAACATGCAAGTCTACCTTGGCGGCGCAAACACTGGGGGAAAGGAAGGGGACCACGTGCAGCAGGCGCAACAAGCTGGTCTTGTTTGAACGTCTTGGCTGAATCCTCTAGTGTTCGCTGAAAATAATATCCGTGAGCTGAAAGCACTAATGGGGTTTAGCCAAGATCATCCCAATGTGTCTAGATTTTAAAGAGCAAGATGTGGGAATGGGAAGGATGTGTAGTCCCTCCCCACAATAAGGTTAATCAAAGCCCCCAAATGTCTATTAAATTTAGGCATAGGGTAGTAGGAATGTTTAAAACAAGAGAAAAGGAGCTATCAGAGTTTCTAAAGGTGCAGGTTTAACATTCAGATTTATACTGTGCAATTCTACCATGTGAACAATAGGCCTCAATCAGAGCACTGGGCACTTCTTTTCCCTCAAGCTTCACCTCCCCGAAACACCATCACCTGAGAACTCAAATAGCTGCTATACCCAGCATTTCTCAGCAACTTTTCCCTAGGAATTTCTCTGATCTCACAGATCTTGCATCTAGATAAAGTAGCAGATATTACTAACAAGTGCAAATTTTAAATGTGTCGCAGCTATTAAAAGCACTAGAACCCTTGCTGGGTAGAGTGAGAATAACTGCCTGAGTAAGCTGTTCCAAGTACTGATTTGATTCATAGACTCTCAGTGGTTCTCGGGCTTGGGTCCCCAGATGTTCTTGGACTGCAACTTCCAGAAATCCTGCCCAGCACAGCAAGCGGTGAAGGCTTCTGGGAATTGCAGTCCAAGAACATCTGGGGACCCCAGTTTGAGAGCCACTGTGGATATCATTATGGTTAATAAATCTACTGGAACTAATGAATTTGGAGATTCAAAGTTACTATTTCAGGTATTAGGACAAACCACATATGTGCAGAATTCAAATCAGCTACAACAGGATATTGCCCCCCAAGTCCTACGCTTACCATAACTTATACAGTACTGATTAGAATCTTTCTAGAACAGTGTTTTCAAAAGTGATTGTGGATATAGAGTACATCCAGGTACTTTTCTAATATACATCAAGAACATTAAAAGTTCTAATGCTGGCTGATAGTTTTAAAACAACTTTAAACTATGACATTTTTAGCTTCACAATCTACATTAGAAATCTGGCTGGATTCTTATTTCTGAGCCAAATTGTCAATCCCGTTCTGAACCAATGATCAATCCTAATAATTTAGGGTAGCTTCACAGAACATAGAAATTTAGCCAGTTTTCAAACCAATGGAGAAACCAACAGCAAATTGGACAATCGTCTGTCAGATCTGCTTTGATTTGGATTCCTGCACCAAGCAGGCGGTTGGACTCGATGGCTTTATAGGCCCCTTCCAGCTGTTACTCTCTGATTCTATAAAGAACCTGAGTCTGAAAAAGTGATAGATATCTTAAAGTAATTGAATTCTACAGCTAGGGCAGAATCTAAGTTTCATAAGCATTAAAAATAGAGGAAAATGGGTCTTCTCATAGAAACACTATTGAATTAAACATGGGAATAAAGTTTTACAAATGGCTCAGTGCCTAATTGAATAAAAATAAACCTGTGGAGCCAACCTATGGAGTCAATGCATACCCTCCTGTTTTTAAATCTTATGAGGTCAAAGAAATCAGGCAATAATGGGTAACTAAGTTTGATTAAAATGCTGTAAGTACAAGCTGATTTACTTCATGGCAAATCAAATATTGCAGAAACTTGCAGCTGTGCAATGCTATGAAAAGTAACTTCTATATTAACATCCTGTGTTGATGGGATACTTTTTTCTGATACCTCTAGTTTCAGAATACAAACTGGATATTCCAAATACTAAAGCTCCTGTGTCTCAAGAGTTGTTCTAATATGCAAAGGTTGTAGATATCCAGATTCCAGCATGAGAAATCACATACTATAACTGAGAAGTATAAAAAACATCAGGTTGCAATATGAATGTGAGACAGCTCACTCTGAAGTCTTTAAGAGAACCAAACTTTTATTGAATTCTCTATGCTTAGTGTGCAGGAAAAGAAGGTACTCCACATCTTCATTTAAAGAACAGGAATAGTCAGTTCAGTCATGTTAGTACAGAGTACTCTATAAACACAGACATATTGAGAAAGCAACTATTTTCAAACACAATAAATGAAAACTGATTCTACTCTGCTACAATTAGAACAAAGGCAGGATAAATGATTAAATTATGGGAACACTAAACTTGAAAGGGAACTAAATTACACTAACTTATGTTTCAGGTATTGTTGAGATAATCAATGCACATGAATTCTCTTAACTGAATTGTTACTGTAAAGCTTGTGATGAATGGAAGAGAATTTGAAATAGTAGTATTCAGGTAAGTCAGAAGAAAAGTCTGTTCTATCAATCCCCAAATTATGCCTGAATTTTTCAAAGATCTCAAATAGCGTGAGGATGCTGCAGCTTCTCCAAGTCCCACTCCTGCATTCATTGTTTTTCTACTTGCTTATCTTACTGGCTTTACAAAACAGTATTTCAGTTTTGTTCCAGAGTATGTAAAAGAAAAAGGTTAACAAAGAGACTAGCAGAACAGCACAATAGAAGGCAAAACAGCTGCATGTAGTTTGTCAGACATACAGCTACATTAACCAGATTAGCAGTTATGCATTCACTTGGCTTTCTCTTAATATGGAAGCATTAGAAGTCTTGAAGCAACAATTAGCTGAAATAAACTGTGGATGTTAGCTGTGTGATTTAAAGAACAATCATACAAATGAACAACATGAGGAGCTGATAATTTTGATAGCTACTGGTAAAGGGCATAGTATCCTACCAAAGAAATAAAGTTTTCAATTCCCCCCATGTTTTCCAATTACAGTTTATCATCCTGAACCGTAGTTTTTAGGTTGAAATACTCCTGCTTGCAAAAAGGGCACAGCGTCATAGGCCAGTCATGCTTTCCCTCACATGCATCCCACAGAACAGAGAACAGAATATATGTGCTACTTTGGGCTCCTCAGCAGAAAGGAAGGATAAAAATGCCATAAATACTGACAAGGAGGTGGAAAACCACTTTGGAATATTCTATATCTAGAAAACACAAAAAAGGGTTGTAATAAGTCAGAATTGACTTGACAGCACATAATTACAGTGGTGCCTCACTTAACGACGATAATCCGTTCCAGGAAAATAGCCATTAAGCGGAAACATCATAAAGCGAAATAAAAAACCCCATTGAAACGCATTGAAACCCATTCAATGCATTCCAGTGGGGTACAAACTCATCATCCAGCGAAGATCCTCCATATAGCGGTCATTTTTGCTGCCTGTATAGCGAGGAATCCATCTCTAGACACAGCGGGGAGCCATTTTAATTACCTGGTGGGCATTTTGAAACCGCCGATCAGCTGTTAGAAAACCTCATTTTGCGAAGAATCGGTTGCCGAAGCAGGGAACCCATCGCAAAGCGAAATTCCCCCATTTAGACCATCATTTTGTGATCGCAATAAGATCATCGTTAAGCGGATTCATCGTAATGCGGGACAATCGTAAAGTGAGGCACCACTGTATTGTATCTGAGGTAGGTAAAGAAAGCTAACCTTGCTATCAATGGCTGAAACACAGTAACACATCACAACCAGAATAAGCCCATTGAATCAGTGAGAATGTGATGAGTTAGCTCTTCTGTAAATTCCATTGATTCAGTGGGCCTGCTCTAGTCGTGACCTACTATGTCAAGCAACAGAGTTTTAGCCAATGTTTCTGTCATTAATCATCTAAAGTATTTTAACATTTTAGAAAGTTACTGTGGATTTATTGATAATAAATATTTCCAAACTAGGTCCTACCATATGCTTTCTCATGTATTGATATGATCATAATTATTTCCAAATTGCTATTTTATATCTGGAGGCAAGTGGGTACATACTGAAAGGCAACAGAGATTAGATATCCTCTTCCTGTGTTTTAATTAATAATAACTGTGTGCCATCAAGTCAATTGTGATTTGCAGTGCCCCTTTTCAGGGTTTTCTAGATAGAGAGTACAGTATTCAGAAGTGGTTTACCATTCTCTTCTTTTGGAGGCATCCTGAGACTGTGTGGCTTGCCAAAGGCCATACAGGCTGGCTGTCCTCCCTGGAGCTACAGTGGGGAATCAAACCTCCATCCTCAGGCTCTGCAGCCAGATATGTAGCTCACGGTGCTTTCCAGCCAGTTATGTTTTACACAGATACACGTTTTTCCCACCCCCACAAAAAAACCCTAGTCATTTATTTTGTAAGAACTGTAAATTTTACATTTTCAGGTACCTTTGTAGATTAGGGTAGACCACAGTTTAGACTGAACTGCATTTATAATAAGCTAGTGCTGAAGGTTATTTCTTCTGAAGAATAAAGATATACAATTATTTTTCAGGTTTGGCCATCCTCCAACACAGTTAAGTGTCCTTAAGTCAATGGATATAATTGAGCCTAAAATTGTATAACACAGGACCAGCTGCATCACTGTGACTGCATACTCAGCCTTAATACAGATGTATTGTGTAGCAGCACAAACAGGGTTTTCAGGTTATTTAATCTGAAATAAAAGTTAGGTATAGTTTTAATAAGCATGGGTGTTCCCCATTCAGTAGCAATATACTTCCATGCTGCAACCAGGGACTGCCTTCCAGGTACATGTCCCAGCTCAGCCTCCTCTGCTGCATTCCATTCCTCTTTCCTTTACTTCCTCTAATTCGCTTCAGAGGCACCATTTTCAAATGTTTGTTCTCAAAGTTTTTCCCAGGGTTTAGTGGTCTGTGCTGTCAATGCAAATCCCCCGACCCTACTCTTAAGATTGATCCATGTATTCCAAGATCTCCTGATCTTACAGCAAACAGTGGGTAGCCCTAGAAAGTTCAGAAGACTCACTCCTGTATGAAGAACAAGACTTCTTCCAAAGACATTCAGAAATTCATTAATAGCCAAGTCCTCATTAATATTAAAATATGTAGTACACATTTGTAGAAGGGGGGCTAGCAAAAACAAAATGTTATAGTATTTGACTTGACAGACTGATGCAGTTCATGGACCATAAATTGCAGCAAGCATATGTGTCATACTAGTGGATCAGCTGGGCCCCTGGCAAGGTGTAAAATACTGCATCAATTTAATATGTCTGTCTATAGCCATTGTGTACATATTTTCACCCCAGAAAACTGCAATGTGGGTTTGGAAGGGGAAAAACAAGATTGAAGTCTTTAGATTGAAATTAACTGGGTTCTGTTGTGTTCAAAAGCATCTGACTCTTTATGACAATACTCCTTTTTCAGATCATAGAGGCTGAACTCAAAATGAATCTGCTCATTAAGTGACAAGAAACTCAAGACGGCATCTATGTATTGTCATGGTTTTCAGGTATTACATGGGATGTCAGTGATGTACTATATGTGCCTGAGAAGACAACAGAATACAAAAGCTACTTGAGCAAAAACAGGCTTTACTTAGTCAAATATAAAGCAAATAAATTTTGCAGTACTGTCAAATCAACTCTTCAGAGAATATAGCAAATAGGTGTGGTATGCAACCAATAAAAGACCTAAAATATTACAGCTTTAAAGATTTTTTAAATTGCACGAAAACATTTTACAAATGAAGGGGGTAATATTTATTCTTGTAAATATTAGGATAAAGTTATGTATGTGTATACACTCAGGCATGCACGAACACACACTTTTATACTGTATAGAATAAGGTTACATGGACACAAAGACCACATCTCATAGTCCATTAGCAAGGGTCCACACTGGATGGAACACTTCTAAGTCTCACAATGTACAACTAGAAAAAAAATGAGAAGAGGCAGAGCACATTTTCCATGCAGAAGTGTTATTAATGTATGATGGGCATAGATATTGTTCATCTTCCCAATCAGCAAAATTGAAGATACTGTACTTTTTTTTCCTTATTCCTTTAATTATATATAAGCAAATCTCACATTCGGCATGACTGTTTATTCAGAAGCAGTTCTACCTGTGTTCATTGAGTCTTACTTTCAGGAAGGTCCAAATGGGACTGAAGTGTTAAGAGGCTCAACCCAAAGTCAGAAGTTATGAGATCTGACAGAATCTAAAGCTTTCATTTAAAATTAAATAAATAATTTAAGGTGATACTGAAGATCAGTAGAAGGCATTAACTTGCCAAAACCTAAAACAAGATTGGTAAATGCTGACCAAATACACTATCTGGCATTGAATGTCAAATCTGCACCTCCCACTTTATGTTTATCAGTGCACAATCCGTAAACTGGATCATAGGGCTCTTTTTATATTCTCTTACTAGGCATATTTTTGTATGAAAATATTAGAAGATAAGTGAAATTGCCACCTAGAGTGGTCGTATTGACCAGATAGGCGGGGTATAAATAG